AGTCACCCCCTTGGCCTCAGCACTGCTGCCCGCTCCCTGGGCTGGCTGCTCTCATGCGAGGTCGTCCCCGAAAATTAGAAATTCCTCAAAGTCCTGGTTGCAACTGATAGTGCCTCTTCCCAACTTTCTTTTTTTGGTGTTTAAATTTTATGAAATAAGCTTTAAACGCAGAACGCCAGGGCAGGACCCCGGGTTACCACGGGCCGTACCCCTCATTGCCACGGGCTGGGTGCTGCCGTGCGCCTGTGCCTGGTAGGGACAAATCACCTTGTAGGTGATTTGCAGGAAGAGCCAGTCCCTGTCTTGGAGACTGGGCATCTCATATAGAAAATGCGGGGGGACAGCAGAAACCGAGGGGCAAACCGGTGACCCCGAGCCGTGGGCCAGAGCCCAGCTGTGCCGGTGCGTTTGGAGTTTGCCGTCCCCATTCCCTGGGGCGGCAGGTGCTGCCGGCCATGTCTGACGGAGCTGCTTTGCTTTTACCCTTGTAGTTGGCGACAAGGTGCCGGCGGACATCCGGATCATCGAAATCCGGTCCACCACCCTGCGGGTCGACCAGTCCATCCTCACAGGTAGGTGCGGGCATGATGGGGTGGCAGTGGCTGCTGAAGGCAGAGCTGTCCCTTGACCATCTTCCCAGAGCCAAATTTGGGGACTGGTACTGTGCTAAGCACTTCGCTGGGGTGGGAAACAGGTGCAAGAACGAGATGGAGGACCTGGGGATGTCCCAGCATCATGGCATAAGCCAGGCGTGCCCGGTGCTCGGGCATCCCTCCTGCAGAACACACAGCACAGGGGGATTCACGAAGCCCACGCTCTCCCCATGTGGCTGTCACACGGTGACTGCTGGTGCATGAGGCCTTGGGACTTCAGGGAGAGGTAACAATATTTGGGGCTTTTTTTTTTTTAAGCACTGAAAAAGCCCATGAAGCTGATAATTGTGATAGTTCAAAAATTCTCCCTCTGCTGTCAGGGAAAACCGGTGAATGATCAGCCGATAAAAAGGGCTTCCAGTAGTTCAGCCCTCGTGCGTGATTTTGTAAAGGCACCGAGTTAGGAGATGGCAGCAGGAAAGGAAAAGCAATCAGAAAAATTATTAAAAATACAGGAAAAGGAGCCCAGTGTCCTTGGCAAATGCCTTGACATTAACTTAGTTCTCCGCGGGCAAAAGGAGATGCAGCAGAAGGGCAAACCTGCAGAGACCAAGACACAGCCCTTCAGCAGAAGGGCTTTGGGCACCTTTCCTGTGCTGCTGCCCTGCGAACCCCGCCACACCGTGCCAACCTGCCCTGCCAGCCTGCGACTCCCTGGCACAGGGGCTCAGCCCCATCCCGCCAGGCCGTACGGGAGCTTGTGGCCGTTAGCGATCCACACGGGTCGCTCTTCTGCAGCCCTCGTCTTCTGAGTGCCTCGGCCCGGCTTGGACATCCCCGTGACAGGTGTTTTGGTGGTTTCGTGGCAAAGTGCTGCTTCAAGAAGGCGTAGGGGTTGTGACGCAGGCTCAGGACAGCGGGGAGCAGAGGCTGGAGAAGGGACACAAGTGGTTCATCTCTCTCCTCTTGTCTTGGCAGGGGAGTCTGTGTCGGTGATCAAACACGCTGACCCCATCCCCGACCCTCGGGCTGTCAACCAGGACAAGAAGAACATGCTTTTCTCCGTAAGTCCCTTCACCTGCCCCCACTTCTCCTGTGGTTTTGCAAAGAGCCACCAAGTGAAGAGGGTGATGGATCCAGGAGGTCTCTGAGCAGGGAGCAGTGAGTGTGTGCATGAGAAAGACTGAATCGGCAAGAAAAAGACCCAAATCCATAAAAATGAGAACCTGCTTCCATGGGATTTCATTTATGGTGTGGCACATGATGCTCTTAAATGCCTTGGCTGATCTCCGTGGGTTTTCCATCAGGTAGGATGCATCATGGATGGGGAGAAGGTTTATGGTTCAGCACGGAGCTATTGCAAGTTTGGGTTTCCTCCTTGCTCGTGCTCCTCTTGGGAAGAAGCTGAGTTCTTGAGGAGTGACAGAGCTCTCAGGTGGGGTCTCCAGCTGCTTTAGGATGTGTTTATATAAAATCTCAGGATGTCTTATTTTTCTCTTAACCAAGATCTCGTGTTCTCCTTTCACAAGCCACTCATTTCCCTGCTCAGGCCAAGAGGTTTCATGCCCATATATCCACTCTGACCCTTTTCTTCCCTCCCAGGGCACCAACATCGCAGCTGGGAAGGCCGTAGGGGTTGTCATTGCGACAGGGGTGTACACCGAGATTGGGAAGATCCGAAACCAGATGGTGGAGACAGAGCCCGAGAAGACCCCATTGCAGCAGAAGCTGGATGAGTTCAGCCAGCAGCTCTCCAAAGTGATCTTCCTGGTGTGCATCGCTGTCTGGGTCATCAACATCAGCCACTTCAGTGACCCTGTCCATGGGGGCTCCTGGTTTCGGGGGGCCATCTACTATTTCAAGATTTCGGTGGCACTGGGAGGGCCTCCCAGCTGTCATCACCACCTGCCTGGCGCTGGGCACGCGCCGCATGGCCAAGAAGAATGCCATCGTCCGGAGCCTGCCCTCGGTGGAGACCCTGGGCTGCACCTCCGTCATCTGCTCTGACAAGACCGGCACCCTCACCACCAACCAGATGTCCGTCTGCCGGGTGAGTGCCGGGGGCATTTCGGGGTGCAGGGGGGATGCTCTGTAAGCCCCGGCATTGCTCCATCCCCATCCTGGGGTGATGGACTTTGCTGTCCTCACCAGACCTGTTTCATGTTAGGAATTTGAAAGTGAGCATGGAAGATGGTCTATAGGAAGCACTGAGTTTCCTCTCCCCCTCACCAGGGTCAGTAAGGTTTATGGCTTCTCTTAATGTGGTTGTAATTAGGAAACTCACGTTTATGAGCGCACCTTTGGAGGTGCCATGGTGAAGATTCGTTTCAGGGCTCCTTCTCCACAGTGTTGCTTCCTGCTAGGATGTGGTGCTGAGATAGAGCTCCTGGAGAAGCCAATGCAGTTAGCCTCCTCTGCTCTTTTTCCTGTTTCCCCCTTGTTTTTAATCAAACCAGTGAGAAATCCTGGACCACGTGAGATTACAAAGCCTGGACCTGTGAGGCCAAAACTTGGAGGGTCTGTGCAACGCATGGGTCCAGCCATGACGAGCTCATGCAGAAATCCAGAGGTTAAGAGAAAAAAATGCCTGTGACCTGGTGAAACAGCACTTCGATTGCCCATCCTCACTTGGCAGAAAATCTGCGATCCGCAGCCATGTGCACCTGGGCTTGGACCAAAAGACACTTGTGATGGAGGGAGTCCTGGGGTGGTTTGGTGAAGAGGTTGAAGGCTCCTGGTCTACCAGAGAGCTTTGCTCCCACGTGCTCGGCCGTATGGGGAGGTGACTTGTCAGGAACGCATGGACCATCTGAGTACTTCTCAGTTTCCCCATTAATCCTCAAGTCTCAGGAAAGCTTTATTTTCTTTCACGGCCTTGGCATGTCAGTTTTATAGGAGAACCTTGGAAAATATGTTGCTGTGGGGAAAAATGGACCTGGCCACTGTCCCTCCTCTCTGACGCTCATGTAGTGGGGGGAGAAGCCGTGACTGCGCTGCAAGCTGGCCACGGGCTTTGGCCACCGCTTTGCTCAGCACAAACTCCGGATGCCTGGAAATGTCTGATATTTCCTCCCTGTAAATGGTTTAAATTGAGGCACCACTGGAACGAGGCAGTGACCGAGCTGCCCACGTCTGGCACAAGGTTCCAGACCAGCCCATGGTTTCCACCAGCCCATTGTCTGCCCCAGTGATGCAGGGAAGCGAGTGATGGGCAACGCCGGCATTGGGAGGTCTCTTTAGTTCTGCAGAAGGAGAGGTAGGACATGACTGTGCCTTCCCCAAACCATTTCCTACTGGAGGATCTGCTCCTTGGACTTGGGCAGAGGTGCCACCACCATCTCCCACAGTGCGGTGCGGTCGGGAGAGGCAGGATTAGCAATGCTGGGACAGGGAGAGGGCAGGAGGGTGATGGCGTGGGGCAGTGGCACACAGGAGGTTCATTCAACGTCATCTTGAATGAACTCAGCGACTTTGCAATAAAAATAATTTAAATTTGAAATTCTGGGTACCCCCCACCCCATCGCCCCAAGGCCCCTTTCCCATACCTGTGTGGTTCACTTGGCTGAAGCCTGACTCCTGGAGGGTGACACCGAGAGCGGGGCCGGCCTC